TTCCTGCTCTCCAACATGCTTTTCGTCCAGTCAATGATACAGTCTGGAAAGTTTTTCCTCGACATGGCCCTTGTTATGATTTCGTATTTAGTACGATCAAACGCGCCCTCGATGTCTAGGAATAGGCTGAGTGCGTAGCCCATTCCCTCTATCTGTTCCTCAATCTTACCCACTAGGTGATGCAGGGCCGTTTCCGTCGACCTGCCTGCCCTGTAGGCATATTGTGAGGGTGATAGGGGTTTCTCAAGAAGCAGTGTGCTCTTTATGTATTGGTCCACCAGTCTTTCCAGTGTCTTCAATATGAAGGAGGTGAGGCTGATGGGTCTGAAGTCCCTGGGCTTGATATGCCCGTTCTTTCCAGGTTTGGGGATGAAGGCAATCCTTGATCTCCCCCAAATTTCTGGTACAGTCCTTAGTGCTATGCTTGCCCTAAGTATTTTTGTTGAGGGTCCCAGAATGATGTCGATCGCTCTCTGCAAGAGGATTGGATAGACTCCACCTGGTCCCGGTGCTTTTAGGGGTTCAAAGGTATTGACGGCCCACTCTACCCCTTGCGGGTGGACTATCTTAGCTGCCAAGGCCCATTCCTGCGGCTTGTAGGTGCCTTTACAGGTTTCTGTTCCTTGTTCCATATCCCCCGAGTTCGTGAACCCTGGGAAGTGCTCTTCTAGCAGCAGTTGGAGAGTTTTTTCTGTGGTCCAGGTGTAGCTTCCATCCGGTTTGATGAGACAACCCAGATTAGAGGCGCCCTGTCCTCCCAGGATCTTTACCAGCCTTGAGGCTTCAGATTGGCTCTCCACCCCACTGCTAAATTTCTTCCAGCCCTCGTTTTTGGCTATTACGAGTGCCTTATTGTATTTCCTCTGAAGACCTCTGCGATCTTCGAGGGCCTTCTGCCTGCTGTTTTCCGTGTACGCGGTCTTCACCTTGTTCCACGCTTTCCTTAGCTGGCATCTTAAAATGGACAGTTGATTATTCCACCAGCCCACCATTTTTGTATTCCGCGGTCTTTTAATGTTGCAGTTGTTTTCATAGGAGTCCCTGATCACTTCTCCGAGACGTTCGGCTGCATGTTCCAGGTCTCTCTTGTTTCTGAATCTTGAGGGTACATCTTGGATCCTCACGAAGAATTCCTCTCTGTCACTTCCCCAGTTTGTATCCTTTGGGTTTCTCCTAGGGATATGTTCCGATTCGCACGTTAATGACAGGCGTATTTGGCTGTGGTCTGAGCCCGAAGGTTCTTGCGACACCCTCCAGTCTTTTACCCAACGTGCCATGCCTGCCGTGCAGATGGTTATGTCCAACACTTCATGTCTTCTGCAGTCCATGAAGGTTGGTTCTTTCCCTCTGTTCAGGATGTGGAGGTCTTTTTCCATAATGAAGTCATTTAGGGCTTCTCCTCTAGCATTGGTATTTGAGCTTCCCCACCCCAGATGGTGTGAGTTCGCATCGCATCCAAGCAGAAGTTCCAGCCTTTCGTCCTTCACTTTTTTGACGAGTTCTTCGACCTCCCTTGTTGGGGGAGGTTCCATGGAATCATATGGCAGGTATGCTGATCCCGCTATGAATTCCAGGGCCTCGTTCTTCTCGGTGAGGACCTTGAGCTTCACAGCCGTGAGGTCCTCTCGGCTTTGTTGGTGTAAGAAGGTCGCTTGGGCGCCTTTTACTAACACACAGGTCCTAATCTTCTTTCCTTGGGTGTTCGAGTGAAAAATTTTTCCACACCCCCCCAGGCCCTTTACCGCCCCGTTCACGAACCATGGTTCTTGAATTAGGGCTATGGCTGTCTGCACCCCAGCTAGCGTCTTGCAGAGAACTGCTGAGGCGCTTTTACTGTGATGCAGATTAATCTGGACTATCTCTACCGACTTATGAGCCATTTCTATGTTCATCCGTCAATAGGCTTGTCCTTTTCCTCATGTCGGTTCTTCTCGAGCAACTTGATAGTTGCTCTTTGAGTCCCGCAGTGAGGTTTAAAATTGCAAGCCTCTAGGGCCCGCAGGGATCCTTGATCAGGGCAGCAAAGTGGGCGCCTGTGGCTCCCCTTGTTTCGCTGCCTCTAATCAGGACCCAGTCACCTTTAAGGTCGGCGTTCTGCCGTCCCATGAGCTCGATTGCCTCCTGGGCGGTGACATCCTCGTCCCCAAGGTGAACTACCACCCGGTGTCGCTTGGGTAGCTCCTCCGGTGGCATCACCGCGAGGACAAGGTCCCCGATTTTGTTTTCGGGGAACAGTCCTTTCAGCCAGTTCCCCGTTTCTTCGTCGATGCAGGCGACGATGGCTGCCCCGTCCCTTTCCCACACCCCCTCAAAAGTCGGTGCCTTAGTCCCCTCTGGCAAGGAGAGGATCTGGGACCTAAGCAGTCCCTTCAGGCCCTTGATTTCTTCGGGTGTGATTTTGCGATCTGGGTAGTTCTCTGGGACGAGAGTCCACCTGATCATTTTCTTTGCGACCTGAGCGTAGCTGCCAAGATCAGTCTTGGGCGTTTTCTCAGGTCGCGTGTTGTTGTGGGGGCTTGGGGTGCCATCGGGTTTCAGCCGTTTCACGGCTGCTCCCCTTGACACCCCCCCGCCCCCACCCTCACCCTTGTTTGTCCCAGAAGGAGTGCTTGAGGCTGGGTTAGCCCTTCTCTCCTTCTGGAACCGGCGCCTTGCCGCGCCAC